TCCGCTTGCCGCTAAGCTATCGGCTAAGCTAACTGCTATCGTGGCGCTTTGTAAATTAAAATCTGCCAATGGGTTGCCCGGCATTGGGTCCTATGGAATGAGTATGTGTACGAGTCTATGGTATTGACCCGATACCTGATACCTGTATCAATGCATCCCTACTTTTTTTTTCATCTTATTGTGAGTGGTTGTGTGAAACAATATATTAAATTATAACACCCGTGAGCTGATCCGTGGAGAGCTCAAATTTAGACTGTAGACTTTTTGCGAAGAAGAATGGACAGCTTTACCATCACAGAGGATAAAGAACCTCATCCACAACCACAAAAGACTACAAGCTGTGGCAGATGTTAAAGGTGACCCATGCTGTTGAGAACTGGGGGATGGAAACTTCTAAATCTGGTTTTGTAATTATAATAGTTTATTGACAAGTAATGGTTTCACATAACTACCAACAATAAGAAAAAGTCATTGTGCTATCATTCATAATCTCAGAAAATAAATAAGATAAATATGAATACTGATTTTCTGCCAGAGGGTAGAAACATTCAAGCACAACTTCATTTCCAATATAGCCAGCTGTTACTGAATATTGAAGTATTTTTGTTTCCATCAACTTTCAGAAGTACATGCTATTCCACAGAGAGCTCTCTGACTTGTACCCACTAAAATGAAATATTGTTGGTCTAAATTGTTGAAATCCCCAAAGTCTTCTGCACCCCCTGGGCCAAAAGTGTGTTTAATCAGATACTTTTAAACTGAAAAGCTTGTGTGCGCACATGAGATTAGTGGCTTACAGCTTCCCAGGGACCAGTCTCTTTACTCACACAGTCAATTTCCTACTTTTAAAATTATGGGCAACAACAGCTGCTTGCTTTGTGACGTCGGAAAATGTGAAGTTTGAAGCTATGACGACGATGGAAACTACACAAATCGGAATGAGTAATGCTCTAAAATTAAGGCTGTGTGGACGGTTCACTCTTTTGCACGGATTCTAATCTAAAGATGTGACACAGGACAAAAATGTTTTGTGTGTTTAAAGTTAGGTACCCCAGCTTTAAATCTGTAAGTCTGCCTCTTCTCATAAAGCTGACAGTCTTTTTACAATAGCTATACTGTGTATGGGACATGTACAGTAAGTATATTAATTATTATGCATTTCAATACAATTCAATTCTTTATCTCTATCTACAAAGACACATTAAAGAGTTACCATGAGAACCTCTCTTGCTGCAGTGCTGTAACGAAAACACCACATCAGCCTTTTCACAGTAGCCATCCTTACACTCACTGAGCTGCAATTAAGTTTCCACACAGACTGATGCTGGCAGCCGTCCAGAGAGTGGATCCGAGATATTTGCACAAATCGATCGCCTAACTGTTGACCTTTGTTCAGACAGTGGAGGGAGGGATAAGCAGGAAGAGCAGACTGAAAATTCAAAGTGCATTTGGGATATTATCTATTTACACTGATGACTTTCTCTAGTGGGAGATGGAGAAGTCTGAGATATTGTTGCACATTTACTGCATGTCAAAAGAAACTGACTGGGTGTGGGATAGTGCATGAAAGTGCTGAAAGTAAGTATATTCATAATCATAAGGCTTCCTGTAATCAAATATTAATCAAATATTAGGGAGTCGATTTTCTTTTTCATTCTTTTGTTTTTAACCTTTTTTCAAAAATAAAAACACTATTCCCAATATACCTGCATAACATTTCGTCTTTCAAGTACAGTAAAAATGTTTCTCTCAAGTAAGAATTGGCTTGTCTGACATTCTCGGTTTCCCCACTGGCAGATCTTTTAGCATTGGCAGATTTTAATACATTTACTAAATTGTAGTGGTTTAGCATTTATTTTACACAAAATTGTGTTTAAGAATACATGTTCATGCAACAACATTGACCCTTGAGCAAATTAAGTTTAAAAAAGTAAAAAAAATGAATAAAACAATACTGTAATGATTCCGTGTGTAAAAAGCAACACATTTTTTATAGAAGGAACAGAGAAAAAGCACTGAGAGTAGAGACAATTTGTCAGTTTTGGGGGATTGTGGATTGATTTAAGATAACAGTTTTTCTTTTCTTTTTGAGCACGAGATTGACTGGAGAGAGCATGCTGTTGATGAAGAGGTCGTGCACAACAGACTTGCTGTTCCCAATTTAGCCAAGCGGGATCCGGAGACGCTCTCTCCCATCTGCTGGTCAACCAACAACATCAATTACATCAGCAACTTCATGAGGATACTCTTGTACTTTCTTTCCCTTTGTCTTGCATCTGAACCAGAATTTTGTAAGTCACTGCTGGCACTGCTAATGAGTCACTGATGTAGACAGATTTCTACAATGTCACATCAGCAGCTTGACTTCCATTATTTATGAACACTGATGAGTAAAGGAAGCTACTAATAAACAGAAGACAATTGCAACATATTCTTTGCAATCTGCTATTCAAGGAACAAACAATCACTCTGTTCGGCTTTAATCGACCTAGTATTCACATTTCACGCTAAAAATATTCTGAACTTAACGATTCTTGGTAATGTATGGTCTAATGTATGTTCTATGTGTGGTATGTTAAGCAGTTAGAATATGCCCAACATGATCTATACAAACTTGTTGGTAAAACCATTCAGATTGAGTTAACGTGAAGTGTGACGTCTCTGTAAGAGAGGCAATGAGATTTTGTTTGTGTTTGTAAATGCGGATAATGTAGCACTGTACACAACAGAATTACAATAACATTGTATCTTGTATCTTATCGGCAAATAATTTTAGTAACTAGTGCAATGTACTGTCAACAGTTCATAGAAAAAAGTTGCACCCCTTCTTGAGCAAATCAATTTATACTGCCAATAATAAAACTTGTTTACCAAAAAATGTTATATTTGTAATTAAAAAAATAAATTTGTAATAGAAACATTTTTAGGTAAAACTCTTACTGCTGTAAGAATTAATACATGCAACGTGAGATATATCAAGCCTTTGTTTATTATAATGTTGATCATTAGCTCACAGCTTGTAAAAACCCTCAAATAAAACATCTAAAAAGCAATTAGAATATTTTGAAAATAGACGGTAAACCATAATTAACAAAGGCTTGGCATATATCAATTTGCATGTATTGATTCTTATTTTAATTTGAATATAAAGAATATTTTTCTGTTCACCTTTATCTAGAAAATGTAGAACAAAAGCAAGAAATGTGCTCTTTCCACATTTGCAGATTGTAACAGCAGCCTGGCGCGCGATTCCCTGGGCTCTGCATTACTTATTGAACCAGGGCTTTGTGGAGCACACAGCACAAATCTATCTGTGTCTCTCGGTGGGCCTCTGCTCTCTTCCCTTGTTCTGTACTTACACTTTTGCAATCACAGGAGAGTTTTAATTTGCAGCCCATTTCTCTCCTATTAGTGGCGAGAGTGTGGGAGTGTGTGCGTGATGGTCCAGTTAGAGATGAGGCTCACAAACTGCTCTCAGAGTCAGCCATGTTTTTAATCAGCACATATTCCAACATCTAATTAATCATTAACATTTCTCCTGCTGATCCTTAGCCTCGGGGGTTTAGGGACGTATGCTCAACTTCTCCTCCTCTCTCCTACTACATCATGACTGTAGGCTACTTTATATTGTCGGTCGCATGGACTGCAAATCACCTGCATATGGAGTAATGATCATGCTTCAAATTCATAATTTGTAGTGCAAATAAACTCTTTAGGTATTAAGTTAGTATCTTTATAATCCACAGAAATCTGACCTGCAGGTTTGCGATTACCTGCGATTACCTATCGATGAGAGACGTTGTGGTCACATACTGTATGAGCGACCTGCTGTGCAGAGTGAATGATCCATTGTGAGAGGAGATGCTGAGTGCATGCGGACTGTGGCTGGTGCAACCGGTGCAGCATGTGTTGTTATGTTTTATTCATTGCATGTGGCCAGAGCAGAGACAGCAGCGTGTGTTTGTACTGAGAGCAGATGTGTTTGGGGTGGCCTTGCTGCGAGTCAGGTTTTCTGTATTGCTTGGTCAGGGATCCCCGGGTGGCCGTCAAATTCTGGTACGACACATCTGCTGGTGCATACAGGTTGAAGCACTGCGTGTATGAGTGCTGATGAGGGTGGAATTCTATATGTTCCAGTCTTTCCTTGTTCACTGCCCTTCCGCGTCTCCTCCCTCGACTCATTTGACTTTCTTCCCACGTCTGTGCTTATCGACGTCTCGGTTTGGGGTTTCTCTTTGTTTTCTCTGCTCCTGCCACCTCGTTTCAGCGCTTTTGTCTCCTCTTCTCCTTGGCTTACACAGACACCATGCACCTCACTGCCAGCAGTCATTTACTCTGCTTAGGCAAATGAGCGTGCTTTACAGCGGGCATGTGCGTTTCTGCTCCATCAGAATACATTGCACACAACATTGGAGCAGGTTGCAGCCTGGAGGCTCAGACACCAGCCTGAAATGGATCTAAGAGGCGCACTGCGGGCTCCTTGAGCAGAACAATGGGCTGATGTGACTCAGGCGGCAGGCCTGTGTTTGGGATGAAAGGGAAGGTGTAATTTAGCATGAACATTACGCAGCTTGTGTCTCTCATGTAATGATTGTTTTAGTACAGCAAAGTACGAGAGCTCTTACAGTGGTCACTCAAGTAACTAAGCATTGGGAGTCTTGGGTTTACCACCTAACATAAATTATATACTCAGACAGAAGTAAATATAGAGCCACAATTAAACTGAATTGTGTGAAACATAATAATTAGTTAATGTCTCATTTAAACAATACTTTGAGCACGTATTGTCCATTTGGGTTCCCATAAACCTTTTTAATGTGCTATTATTAATAATGCTGTGCAAACAGTAGACCAAGAGAACTGTTAATGAAACATGCTCTGTTATACAACCTGATAGTTTGAGATCCCATGAGCCCCTAATCTTCCAGGAACACACCACTATAGCAGAAAGTGGATGCACATGGTGTGCATATAGAGAGAAGACCCTGCCCCATGGATACCTGTGACCTGGTCCACCAGGATGCGGGAGGTGATGATACGTCCATACTGAGAGAAGAGCTGCTCCAGCTCCTTCTGGGTCATGGTCTTAGGCAGGCCACTCACGTACAGGTTTGCATCACGAATAGAAGCTGAGCTTGGCCGTGCGTACGACACCTACAAGAAAGATGCAGCCATTTACAAGTAAAGAAGCATTGTGTATTCCTTTTAATTTTAATTTCAACTGTAAATGTAATGCTATAACTTTGCATTACCACACAAACTTTGTAACTCTAATTGTAAATAATACGCCCATCAAACATCCAATAAAGACACAAATGTAATCAAGCAACATCTTGTTCTCAGACAGGCTCAAACGCTGCAAGAACAAATCCATGTCCGCAGTGACAACTCTGTGGCTGCCAAAGAAACAGAACTGGTATGAGATGCTGAATCCAGGACACTTTCTACACATGTTTTCTTTGCTACCAAACCACCTAACTGTAACAATTGCAAAAGCAGTGATTACGAATTACATTTATTTATTATTTGGCCTTCCTGATGCTTCCCAGTAAGCTCTGTTTTTTCAGCATGACAATATTTTTCTCTGTTGACCTCCAACAGTTGCTCTGGGTATGTTCAATAGCTCTAATAGTAGCTCTCTTATCACAGCGTTTGAACGTCAGTTGTGTTTATGAGAGTGAGGACACGTGGTGATTGGGTCAAAACAAATTCAAATTTACACATGGTTCTAATCTTTCACCATCTTTTTCCTTTAGTTGCCTGACCACCACCCCCCATCCTCACCCATCCCACCCCACACATACACCATGGAGAGTCTCCTTTTATCTCCCTGTCAAACAAGTCCAGATGCCTAATCTATCAACACCTCCTCAGCTTCCAATGCTATTGTGTGTGCGATGGGGAAAAGTGAGCACGGAGATGAAAGTGTTGTGAACATGCGCTGTAGAGTGTAGAGTACGCTCAGATCACGTACATCTGTGTCACCAAGCCTGCTGCTTCCTAATACGTTATTCTACATTTGTATCAAAAGTGCCTTTAAGAGATTCTGCACATCATAAGGCTGACATCTAAACACAGATGGTGCTGTCTGCTAGGAATGTATGGGGTCAGTTTCCTTTCATGTTTGTACAACTATGATGCATTGGGTTAGGCAGGAGTCCAATAGAATAGTGTTTCTCCCACAGGGATTTCTTTTTCACAGCTCTTGGCTAATCCCATCCTATTAGATTAGATTAGTTCAGATTAGATGAGATGACAGCACTTGGAATCCTGGATTACCAGCGTACAGCAGATTACTGATGCTACTAGTCGTGTTTAAAGCAATAACTGTTTTCCAGGCAGCGAGCAAAGTGCATAAATGTGCTGATTTAAAAGAGCAACTCAAGGCATTAATTTGGACATGTTTTGCTCAGATACTCTATCTCTCCCGCCACTAAGACGGGGTATTAGTCATGCTATTTAAAAGCACTAAGAGAACTGACTGTTGAAGAAAAATGTGCAGTGCTGTGCAGTGATGGTCTCAGTGTTTTCAACGAATGTGATTTTATTATGGGAAAGGCTCAATATGTCCTTCAGTAGATTATTCCTCCTGTGCATATCCTGTTTCCATTATTTGTTTGGTGATTGACAGTGCTTGTTCATAATCTGTAATATTGTTGAAGATGAGATACCTTGATCGTTTTGGTTTGAAGTCTGAGTCCATTTAACGTGTTGATGGCTTTCTCTGCATCCTTTGGGTCAATGTAATTGACAAAGCCGTAGCCCAGGCTCTGTCCTGCAGCAACACAAGAAAATATCAAAACATTTGATTAGATGAGAATCAACAGAATAACATTATTTATATCACAGTCTAAATGTATTTGCCACCTGCTGTTTCAATTCTAAAAACACATTTACTTCAATAACCAGGCCACAGAGGCGGTTTGTAAGAATATATAACATCAACAAATAAATGAATAAACATTAATTGATCATGTTTCTAGCCTTGAAAAATATACCCCAAACAAAAATTAAATTTTTGTTTTCTGTGAAAGACCAACACAAACAATTGTGAAGTGCAAGCAAAATGATACATGCCTCCAACGGCCTGAGGAAGTTTTCTGATGATTGACGAATGGTCAAATGTAGGCTAATTATTTGGTGTGTTAGTGGTGAGGAGGTAAAGCATAGTTAGATTATACAGTTTACAAATGGTCTCCAATCGGATAGTTTGGGGCTTGGCTTTGTCAGGACCCAAGTTACAGGCAGAAAGCATTGTCTTCATGTCATACTTGTCTCACAATACATTTTCTATTCAAGAGAAATATATTTAACGGGGAAATAAGTCAAAACATCAAGAACATCAAGTGGACTACTTTATAAGACAATGCAACCAGAAGGCTAAAGCAGTGAGTGAGGGAGATTGCTGATCTGTGTGTGGATGGATTGTCATTTGGTAATATAATCACGGCCAAAGGCAGCAGTGTCTGGGATCAGGTGTCCCCAGAGCAGGTAAAAGATCTGCAGTAAATGAGTGCATGTGTGGGTGCCACTGGCATTTAAATACAGCACTCAGCACTAACCTGAGCATAATGTATTTCACTGGATATATGTCTGCTCATAATTTAAATGGTGTTTTATGTTCAAGTCAAATATATCAGATACGGTTGAATGTGAAATGTTTATATGTAGCTAGGGCTGTAACAATTTAATTGATTAACTGTTTTTTGAACCATACCATGATCAAAACATGTTACGAAAAGGGCTATAATTACCACAGAATCTTTGAAATAATTTCTAATAAAAGAACCAATTATGTTACATCTTGTTGCTGAGTGGCATCACTTTAGCTTTGTTTTGAGCAAAAGTATGTTGAAAATACCAACAATGAATTGATGATCCATATAATCATGAAATATAGCCCTATACATAACTAAACATTTGCCTTGATTCTGGGCAGTAATAACCTTGCTATCACCAGAAAACACAAGTGAATATGTAGTCTCCCCTACGGTCATTTTATTCAACCGTATCAGTTCTACCAGAAGTCTACATAAACTGGTCTGGTACATTGTGTCATTCGTCAGTCAGTCAATAAGATCACAGAACAACACCTGTCCAAACTTTGGCCAAGCATGCAAGAAGAACGAGACCTTCTGACCACTGGAAAACTTGTAACTCGACTACTGCAAATTTTGGCAACAGAGTTGTGACATGTTTTTATTGGTTAATCGTTCTATGTCTTGTGGTTCCTTTTGGGCGAGGAGACTGTACTCCTTCAACTCCCTGTCCATCCTATATCTTATATTCTGTCACTTATAAGCGCTTCACTTTACTCCTAACCATGACTTCACTTCCCAATAATGTACTGTATGTCCCACGACAAATAAAAGATTGGGAGGAAGCAAAAAATACGATAGACGTTTAAACGATGTTGCCGAAAGCTTATTGCCATTTGTTAAGTAAAAACCTTCCCTAAATTGGAATAATATTTTGTTGCTTTATCAGAGAGTTATTAAATAGGATGGCTTTGGATAGCAGTCATTGTCTGACTCCATTTTGGCAGGGCGCAGTGCCTACAGGGCGTGATGGAGGACAACACTATCTTAGCGCTGGTCCCTTGGTGAGACATCTGCCCACAGCATCAGGGGAGCTCCACACTCCTCCCTCCACTTCCAGCGTGAGCCAACTGCAGCGGGGTGTCACTGGGAAACTGTCCAATACCTCCTCCCATTCCCACAACTACACCAACGGCATATGCACATGAGCAGTGACATGCGATAACTCAATCACAGAGCTACAAAACATAAAGAGGAGTGAAAGTGCAGCTTACAGCACAGAGGTGGGTTGACAGACGGATAGAAGACTTAAGTGCAGAAAATAAGATCAATACGATCCAGATGTGTCTTTAGGCATAAAACCTCAAACTGTTTATTCTTGGTTTTATTTGGGATGGACTGTAGAAACTAGCAATAATGAAATCATTTTGGGAGATTTGTGTCATTTACTTTACAGGAACAGAAACAATTTGAATAATTATCAACATCATAACAAACAAAGGCTTGGCATATGTCACGTTGTATATAATGAGTCTATATCATATTAGTTTCACAATGTTGAAATACAGAAATAAATTCACTTTAAAGCAATGTCTTAATTTTCACGAGTTTCACCTGTATGTATGGGCATGTAGGTTAAAGTTATGTGTTATGTGTATTTTTATTTTGTTCCAAACAAAGACCTTTCTTTCATGAACAACAAATGCTAATAAAATGTGTAAGAAAACTATATTTATGATTCAAATTCATCCCTATCTCTTGAAGTATGTTGTGTATTGTTGCTATTTCAAGTGTGTGGTTGTCACTTTTGTTTTGGCATGATAGCAAAGTGTTATGACTAAGCCAATGTTCGTTTCCTATCGAGCAGTGGGTTTTGCACCGTGATAAGAACCTATGGGGATTCCTGTCTGGTGTTGTGTTATTCATATATAATCCGTAAATTCCACAATATAAACTATAATCTCTTTTTATGGCTGTGGTCTGAATATATGTATGTCATTATGATCTGTAATAGAAATGCAGAGACCTGAAAATAATCAATTGTCAAAACTGGATCCATGCAGGAAGTACCACTAGTTTCAAACTTAGCCCTAAATCTATTCTTCACGAGCTTGAGCTGTTTCCTCAGAAAAATGTGAGAAAAATGTGAGAACGCTATGAGTCAGTAACACTTTGTACCTTTCCTGTGTCCCCAGAAACAGGCAAAACTGTTAGCCTGACTTAAATTTAGTGTCATTTTAAAAATAGGGGAAGGCTCAGGAAAATATTGAATTTGTCAAACAGTTGGTGCTTCTGCTGTGCTCATTCTGCCCCATGCTGCTCCTGCTGTTGCACTGGCTTCAGGTAGTTCTATTTTTGATGGGTCAACATTTAAAAATGTGCCCTGCTAGCTTCATGTCACAACACACTTCACTTTGACCACACAGCGGGTCAAATATGTTATAACTGGCAAGAACACTCCACCACCACCACAGGCAGTATAGTCAGCTTGCATTTTGTGTCTGCAAATAACAAAATTCATAAACATGTCTGTCACCCACATACATCCAGTGTAGCTCCCTCTCCCACTCACTCATTCAGATCATCTCCGTCCTGTGTTGCCAAGGTAGCAGCCATAGTTGCACTCAGGAGGCTCCCATTCTCTGTTCCCAAGACCTGCTTCGACTAATACTCAAACAGTAGCCCACATAAGCCCAGGGACAAGTACATACTGGATGTAAACCACCCCCTCGTGGTGCTCCCTGGGCCTTCAGGCCAGTGAGCATCAACCTGTTATGTGTGGGCCGCCCAGCTTGTCTGGTCTAAAAAGGTCTAGTAAGATTATACGACCTTTCATTAACTTAGCTACTGTCTCTTTCAGTAGCTAATGGGGATCTGAATAAAAACAAACAAACTGATGGAACATATAGAGCTGAGCAAGGTCCACTATGATTTTTAATAGCATGGATTGTCACTATACATTTTCAAAGTCAATTCAATTTAAATGGTTGATTCCTCAACAATAGATTAAAGAATCACAGGAAATGCAATAATAACTGACACATAGGAGCCATTGGTTGGGATGACCAATGTCCATTGTGGCGCCACCTGCATGTGAAAGCCAGATCCCTCTGAAGCTAAGGTTGGGCCTGGTAGGTACTGTGATAGAAGACCTCTGGGAACACCAGTGCCACAGTGGGGTGGCTGCGGCTGTAAAGTGCCAAACTGTCTTTGTGTCCTTAGGCAAGACATTTCACCCACAGGTGTGCTCTTTTAAGTCATGATGAGAATGCCCTGCCTTTCAGATCCCTGCCCCATACTTCAGAACAGTGGGTCAGAGGACAGGTTAAGGCCCTTGGGCATTTACTGCCATTTGGAGAAATGATCTCTCACGAGTCGCAGCCTCTGAATTCTTTGCAAAGGGCATTTGCGGTGGAAATTAAAAGACCAATCAAAGACGGTGAGGTTGTGTACCTCCTCACTTTTATACTTTGATCGGGGCAGCTGTTCTGGCTAGTGTGTCACATTTGAGACCAGAGGTCTCTCAGTCCATAAACCTTTTGCCAAGTGATGACTAAAAATATATATTTTTATGTACTTTCATGTGTAAGAAAATGTACACATAAAAACACCATTTGAGGCTTTCTCTGAATTGCCTCAAATGTTAACTGCCTGATTGTAATCTACTCTCGGTATAATCACAACTGTTCTGTGATGCCTCAGAGATTTGACAAACAACATCATCAAGTCCAAGAAAAACACCAAAGAGAGTTAAGCGCATGGTTATACAAAGCATATCACGGAGAAGTGTTTAATCCATCACCTGGAAATGGAAAGAGTATATATGGCAAAACTGCAAACTAGGACTGGCAAAAGAGAAACTAATTATAGATATATTTTTAAGAAGAAAACAAAACAACCATGTCTGAATGAATGTTTAAGAATTATGTGAAATGTTTATTCTTATGTTTTGTAAATGTTTTTTATACTGTATGTTTGAAATGTTTTAATGTGAATTGATCCTGTGTGGAGTGGACCTCAGGAAGACTAGCGACCACTTGTGGAAGCTAACGGGGATCCAAATAAAAAAATAAAGAAATAGGACTGGGGAAATCTGGGGATTTAATTACAAAAATAATCCATAAGGTTTTCACTTTCCTAAACATAGTCCCCGTTTAGAGACGCTGCGGGGACGCTCTATAGCAATAAGCAAAAACGACTAGGCTCCTTATTCAAAGTGCACAGTGTCTATGCCAGTAGGCTAAACTATGTAGTTCTAGCACCGGGCCAGTAGGGGGCAGTGGAACTGTAGAACAAGACACATGCGACCCCACCAGTATAACCACTTCCTCAACAACATCCTACTCAGGCCTCAGGAAATGAAAACTGAAACTACAGCTTTGCGTGGTTTCATTTGGACGAACAAAATGTAACGCTCGAAGCACATGTATAGGATCTGTTCTGTTCCACTCTGGAGTCTGTTTCTCAACGCTTGCGTTTTCACCTGAAAAACACTGTCTTCATGTAAACGAAAGGCCAATCAGACACCCAACTCTATGTTGCTTTACTGTCACAGCGAGAGCAAACAAAAGATTATGAGAAGAGCGAGAGCAAACAAAAGGAGGAGACAGAGGTGAGTGAGCTGCAGACAGACACAAGATTGCAGGGGGAGTGGGCGAGAGAAGGGAGTGGGGGCTGATGGTGTGCATGTAGGCATACATGAGCGAAGATGCTATATCTGTTTGTTTGCTTTTTCACATGATTGTCACTCTTCAGGCCCTCACACTGTTACTGTCACAAGGTTAGTGTTTTTCAGCTAAGATTCACGTCTTTATAGACAATCACCCTCTGTGTCATTATGTGGTCTTCTGACTTGCTAAACCTAAGTAGCCATTGAGATCATCAACACAGTGTCATCCAGCTAACTTAAGCTCTGAATGAAAGAAATATTACTACTTGACATTTGACTAAAGCGACATCGTCTCTAGCTAAGGAAGCTTATCAAGACCTGCTGCTCCAATTTCAGAGAAAGGAGGTTCTGCAAGTATTAACTCTTGGAGGTTGAATGCTTTTGCAAGCAACACTTCCCAATAAAAGAGGCATGCATGATTTTCCTTTCACTTTTTCCCTCCTACCACTTGGCCTGGGCTTTCACACAAACTTCATGGGGTATGAATACTTTTTCAAGCCACTGTACCTGGCTCTGCATTTGTCAAATCCATACCCATCTTCACCTCTGCCTCTATAAACAGATAATGAGTCAAGTCAATAAAATGTGAACTCATTTTATGCTACATATGCTTATAATACGCACATTATTGAACTTATTTCCGACCAACTTTTACTTTCACTAATACTTACTTTACTTTACTTTACTTAAGCGGAACAGAGAAAACTCTTGCCATTAAAATACAATGTTGAGTCGTTTGATTTGTGTTTTATTATCACTGATCATAAGCATCAACATGAATCTCTTCATTGTGGAGCTTAGAAACATCTTCATAGTTAAGTCAAATAGTGGTGAGATGTATATATATATATATTTATATTTAGCATTAACCCTTTATACACCTATTTTCTCTAAAATGCCTGTTGAATCATTGAACATTTGAACAGAAACTCTTTGGAATACAAACAAGTGTAAAAACTAGACTTTTTGTGAACCTAAGGCATAAACTATAATCATAGATGGGAACAATCTCTGCACAGGAAAATCATATTCCAAAATAATATTAATATAATTATAAAGGGGTCTGATGGTTATGTAACAGGTCTGAAGGAGCGTAAAAGGATTTTAGGCAGGAATGTTGGACAGTTTTATATTTTATTGAGATGGACTCCCTAAATAAAATGAACAAGAGATAGTTGTTCATGTTATTCTTGTTAACTGTGGAAACTGTAGAAAATGTGTCCCTGCCTACATGTCTTGCGATTCAGTGTTAGATGCATTATTTATGAACGTGGGGGCATGCAAGTTCACTTGATGTTCCCTACCAGCCCAAGCACAACAATGAGCCTAATGGAAAGGGCAGAAGAGATGTTCTGGCAGACACAGTGAGGTGTAAAGTTATAAAAGACGGAAGCTCATGCAGGACATTCATATGATACACACAATTCTGTGGGGGCCAGAACATCTCTCCACGGCTGACATCATGCTCCATCTATTTTTTATAGGCCACATCTGCTTGGCTTGCTAACTTGTCACTATGATTTGCATGGCTCCCGCAGATTACCTGTACTAACTGAACACACGGAAGAGCAATATGAGCTGTGTATACAGAAGGAGTCAATGTAAAACATAATATTCCAATAAATGTGTTTTATAGTATATGTACTTCAAAGGGAAAGGTATACTAAAATGTTTTATTGTAACAACATGTCAAATGGAATCATGTCTATGACAACATTAAAAACAGTATAGGAAGGTTAATTTTCATTATTCTTAGTAGAAATAAAAGTATTTGGTTCTTCTATGCGAGACAACCGTGAGTGTTTTTCCTTTTTTACTTCCTCAGTATACCAGGTAATAACATAGCTAACTTACTAATGTCTGGTATAGAAGACATCAGTAAGACAACAGTATAATACTTTTAAAACATTACAACATGTAATCTAATTTTTGCAAAATTCAGCAAATGGCAAAAGTGAGGGACAACAACATTTCTGACTTGAGTCTGACTGTTTATGGCATTCAATTCAGTAGAGACACGGATAAACAAATTGAAAATATATATGCTGATATATTTTCAGCATATGTAGTCACATAGTGCTCACGCCCTTGAGAACTAGTCCAGCTAACTGTTCCGAGAATAGCGCAGGCTGACTGTAAAGGCACCTACAGTATAATATAGACACTTCATTCTAACAACAGCACACTGATGATCTGTTTGCTTTCCAAGCAGAGACTGACAGAAGCATTCACAGGTGAAGGCCCAGGGCGCATGCCAAAGTGTGTGGGCAGCATCTATTGCGTGTGGGATAGTCTTAAATAAAAGATTAACCTGTGTGTCCCCAGTGTGTTACAAGAGCAGAGCTACATAGTTGTGCGATGGCGGAGAGAAAGGAAGCCAGAGAAGACAACCAGAGGTGGCTCAAGTCAGACTGGGTGACAGGCTGCATGCACCCACTTCCCCCTCACACTGTCATTGGAGCTGACAAGAGCAGGAAGTGGGAGCTTAAACAAGGCTCTGGACCAGTCTGTCTCCTACCAGACAGGTAGACCAAGGTGCACACCTCATCATACTCTGTGTACAACAAGAAGACTGAGGGGAACCCTACACAACATGACCATTGCCTGAGACGTCTTCACTTTTGTGTTTTTATTTTATTATGATGTTCAACATGTACATGTTTCTCATGTATACATGCTTCCAAACCATGACCCAATGTATGTAATATGTAAGATTATCTTGAAAAAAAAAACGGCTTCAACTGTTAATTTTTCAAATAAAAAATTGAACTAGGTCAGGCCTGACATGGTGAAAAACCCATATACCCATAGTTGGTGATTTCCCTGGTGTTAAAGCCGATATTTGTGATGATGTGTAAACAGCAGCACATTTGCTCTCCTATGTGCAGCTTGTGTTTGTTTACTCTTGAGCTGTATGAGAAAAGCGTGGCGCTCTCAGCTGCCACTGCCTGCCCGCTGCTCTTTAATGAGATTATCAGGAGAAGAGTGTCAGTAAGTAGGATCTATAATGAAAGCCATTATGGAGCATTATCACGGAGCCGCTCCCCTCGGCCCCCCACACCCATCTGCTGTATGGTCGCCCACACAACGCCACTACGCAAAGACTACAGCCATGATTAGCACAGCCAAGTGCTGCTTCATTTAAACACCTCTGGAGAAAAAGGTTGCCCTTTGCTGACTTGTGGTGCTTGAGTAATTATTAGTTAAAAATGTTGGCCTTTTCTTGAGCCTCTTGTAATGTGTTTTAATTCATATTATGCTAAATTGACTTTTTTGAGTAACTTTTGGCACAAACATGCAACTTGCCCCTTCTGTCTAAAAGGTCTTGTAATAGTATTTGTGATGTCATTGTACCACTATGACATAATGCTCACAGCAATTTACTGCCATTTAAAACAAAAGTATTGCCCATTAAAAGTTATGGCAGTTTCATTACATGGCTGTGATTGCAGCCGGTAATACAAAACAAATTAACATCCTCCGTCTGGTGGTAGCATAAGGAGTTGCGTTGGAAGGCATTTTTTACCCTTTATATAGGTTTTGCCATATATTTTATTCTTAAGATATTTTATGACATGAAAAACATGAAATGGTAAAGTAAATTCTCTCATTATCATTTTTATTGGCCAAAGAATAATGGTTAATTTTTCTTTTTAAAGTAATGGTAATGATATGAAGTGCATTCAACTGAAGGATTGTATCTTCACTCTTTGATGAACTGTGATTTTTTGTGTATGATTTTATCATGTTTATTGTTTTTTTAAAGTGATTGTCTGGAGTTTGTCAGAAAGAGAGACAGAGAGGTTCTTGATTTGAAATAAAACAACGCAAGCTCCTCCCCCTTCCTTTCTGATTGGTCTACACCTACGTTTCCGTAACACTTTTAAATGTTAATCAGAGAACACATTATACATATACATTATTAATACACATGCACTGAGGTTTTCAGAATTATTTGTTAACGTTTTAATGAAAAAAATAATGTTTTTATGCACAAAAAGCGATTGCGGCAAAACCCGGAAGAAGCTATTATCATGAATTGCACATTAGGACACACCTGCAGAGGATCTGATTATGGATATAGGTTCAGTATATAAATGATTATGGATATAGGTTCAGTATATAAATGGGTAACTCAGCGCGGATGTTCAGAATTCTTTGTTCAGTTTTCATGTAGTTCCAGAGCCTAATAGAGGCTTGATTCGGAGGTTCCGCGAAAACAAACAACTGAGCATGAGCAGCTACGAGCATCAGCGCCGATGATTGACAGCCCTTGGACTAACTCGATTGGTTAACGTGGACGGCATCGTGGATTCTGAGCTATAGCTAAGAGAAGGGAAGGCGGGACTTGCCCATAATATTAGAATTAATAAAATGACTTATTTTATATCAACATTTAAGGCCAGGAGGTCAATTTAACACATTTCCTAAAATGTGTAATTCATTTAGAGTTACAGACTATCACTTTAAGTACTTTAAGTTGCCTTGTGTATACTTCTTACCTGTAATCTTGTCGCGGACTAGCTTGCAGGACTCAATTTCTCCAATGGATCCAAAGAGGCTGCGAAACTCCTCCTGTGTCATGTTCTGGGGCAGGTAGTTGACAATGAGGTTGGTCTTGCTGTCGTCGTTGTTTGAATTGGTCTGCATGGGCGAAGGGCAGCCGCGGCTGTTGGAGGTAGGACCATTTGCCGTGTTACCTCCTCCACTCGGGCCGTTTGTCACCGGAGAGTCCATATTACTGATGATCTGAAGCACAAAATAAACAATACTAAAACATGAACTTTACCACAGAATTGTACCATGATTCAAACTGAAACATGCACTTGTATTTAAAAGTGGCAGAAATTCCCATTTTTTTCCATATTTAGAAAAAATATAAACGCATGGTTAGTTTCTGTGTAAAGCAATTTATTTTCAATTACATGTGTTTTCTATTTTCAAATTATAATGAAGACAGAAACTTGCCAGATGACCCCAATCATCATCCCCCAGTTCTCAAAAGCATGTGTTGTCCCTTTAACATCTATAACAGCTTGGAGTCTTTTGTGGTAATTGTGGATCAGGTTATTAATCCTCTCTGATGGTACAACCCATTCTTCTTGAGCAAAAAGCCTTCAGTTCTTCTAAATTCATTTTCTTACAAGAAACTGCACGTTGCCGTCCTACACAGATTGGCTCAGTGATGTCATAATTAGAAGAGTGAAACCACGTGTTAAGAGACAATAAATGGCTTCACACAACCACAAACAATGGAAAAAAAAAAAAGGTTTTATCATTAATGTTTAATCCTTATCTACAAAAAAGTAGATATCTGCCAAAAAAGTAGACTCTCAAACACAACTATCCATCCATCCATTTTCTACCCTTTAATCCATTTCTGGGTCAGGGGGGTGGCAATCAGAGATGCCACCCAAGTCTCATAGCACCAGCCCCTCACTGACCCTCTGCAGGTGGTGAGTCCACAGGAGGACGGCTGCTCTCTGAGTGTGAGCATAGCCTTGATCTTTCAGTGGGGGCTTTGGGCAAAGTGGGGTTAAGTGTCTTGCCCAAGGACACAACGACAGCAGTCATCAGTGGGAGTCGGTGGAGAAGGTGTGGAGGTGGGAATTGAACCCACAACCTTCAGGCCTGAAGGCCAATGCTCTACCAACTGAGCTACTGTCGCCCTCAAACACAACTGTATTTCCAAAAGTTCCAAGTTGCATTGTACATGTATAATAATAACGATGAGGTCAAACACTGAACACAATAACCATTCAGTAAATAATCCACAAATATCTTGCCACAACAAGAGGAGCACATATCTAAATATTTATGAGGACATTAAGAGAGTCATCTGGTCTAATGGCTAATGGCTGCTAATGTCAGAAGAAGAGGTTAGTAACTGTGGTGGGCAGCATTTCAGCTGCAAGTGCTGCTGCTGTGACATGGACACTTGGGATGCAAAACAGCTGAATAAAAACCTTGTCCATGTAGAAGTGGGAAAATACACGGAGGAGGGCAGCCGACAGCATTTCGATTTTCAGTGCACTTTACTGAAATGCACAGTTGTTTGTATGGAGAAAAAACAGTGGAAAGTGAAATTCTTTGCATAAAACCTTGATCATATTTACTTGATTTGTAGTGTACTGTAGGTGTATTTCTATCGAAGAACATAGAGTGGCAGACAAATGCAAAGATAATACAATCATAGTGCATATTATTCTACTGTTATTACAATTGTACTTTCCTGGTCAGACATGGACACCAGACATGATCATTGGTATCACACTCTAAACCAGGGGTCACCAACCTGTTTAAGTCCGAGGGCTACCTCAAGATGACAAAATAACTCAAGGGCACTATATATTCTTGAATTGAAATTGTGCATTGCGAAAATGGGTCAAAAATAGGGCATTGTACATAATCGCATTTTTTTTTTTCTTTTAACATCTTGGATTAGTATAAGGAAATATAACTATTACATTTGAGTCTAATAATCAAAGGGGTATGTAATTTATACACATATATTCCGGTAAAATGTGGGATACTCAATCACCACTAAAGATGTAGCACTGTAATAACAATTCATGTCACTAGTTCCTGGCTATAAAACAGTATTGTTCTAGCACTTTCCATAGGAGCAGTATTTTTGGCTTCAGTCACATTTCAAAATCAGCTATTTCAGAATAAGGTAGTGGTGTGCTGTTGTCTGATTTGTTCACTAAAATTTACTTTCGGACACAAAATACAGTTTAAGTTAGGTCAAACGTAGCCTGGCCTTAGCCATCCGTAGACTCCGCTCAATCTTCATTTCACTGCATATAACGTCTGGGTCGCTACTCCCCACGGGCTCCGTTAGCGGCAAAGGAGATGGCTAGGCTATATGCTAAATGCTAACGACTCACTCGGGCGCATTACATACGTCAAGGTAAGCTCAGATCCAATCGTTTCAATCTGCAAAAGGAGTTATCCCCTCTTACCTGTAAACGGAGCTCAATGGAGCACCTCCAGACCTTAGTACGAAATGTAATTTGTACTATGGTGTGGTACGACCAGGCTAGGTCGAACGGCATCCTGGCCCAGACCAAGTTCAGTCCTGGCCTAGCCTGGTCTTACCACACAAGCATACACATTTATTTTCGTACTACGGTCTGGATTTGCTCCATTGAGAATGAAACAATTGGAGTTTGCTGTGACGTATGTAATGCACCCGAGTGAGTCACTAGTAGGGCTTTGACTCTTTAAATAGTTGCTTCCCAAAGGTGCTGTGGCTAGGCGGGTAACAGCTAGGCTAGCTACTCTGAATCTAGAACTCTCCGGAACTACATAAAAACTGAAAAAAGAATTCTGAACATTAGCGGTGAGTGACCCAAATATACACCCAAGAGTTTTCCATGAAAAGTCACACTTATTCACCACCATACGTTGTGAAATGAATAGAAAATAGAGTCAAGACATTGACAAGGTTGGAAATAATGATTTGTATTTGAAATAAGATTTGTTTTACATCCAACTTTGCTTTCGTCAAAGAATCCTCCATTTGCAGCAAATTACAACATTGCACCAAAAACCAGACATTTGCAGCGAATAGTCATTTACCACACAAGCAACATATAGAGTGTATTTCTTTACAGTTAAGACTAGTTTAAAGTTATCTACAGTGCTTCTACAGTTCTTAGCCGTTTTAAATCATTGATGGAAACGTGCATAAAATGGGGCGCATCGCCGCTCATCGGGCACATATTTTCCGCACACCTATTGAGAAGTCTGTCTCACAGACCGGACTCTTGAGCGGCTCATATCTCTATGAATACTAAATTTTTTGCTTTACTTTAAAGATCAAAACAGAGCTCAGACTCTCATCTGTCGCGTAGACCGGTGTTCACCAAGCCCTGGTCATCCAAGATGGCGCCATATTCAAATGAATGACTTGTGCTCAGTAGCGCATGGGGCATGCATGTATGACTGCATTTTCAAAAGACTCCAGCAAATGCGAGAACTGTGAGGTATGATTTTCAAACGGAGCAGAAACTACATAAATTGTCTTCTGGAAAACAAATCTATTAGGACCTTTCACTTCAGGTTTATATGGGTCAAAATTAGACATCACATTCAAGTTATAAACAAGAAAAATCGATTATTCAAAAGAATAATTGCTAGATTAATAGATACAATTCAACAATTATTTTGACAAATTTATAAGCACTTCATATTTACATACATACGTGAAAACCTTTTACAATTACTGTATGTTAAGGTTAAATACACATAGTAGGTTGATTCAAAGCATTACTTGTCAGAGTTTAGGAGCAGTTTAGGCCATCATCCCTCTCTTTCCTATTTGCACACAACATGTACACACTTTTAATCTGGACAAGCACGCGCTCTAACAGGCGAACAATGGGGCACGGCTGTGAGAGAAGACAAACACGCAGACGTATAAAAGCTCTAGGACGAGAGCTGCATGCAAATTCTTCCTTTGACAGTATCCTTCTTGCTCACTCACCATTGTACAAGTGCTACTCACAAGCACAATCATACGAGTATCTAGCTCTAACAGACTTGATTGGAAAGAGCCTTATTAAATCTGTTTACATTCCCTGCTGGGCTTCATTCTGTCAGTGAGACTTTCAACTCCATGGGACATTTTCAGTGGAGTTTTTACACCAAAATGGCTGCCTCTAATTAACAGGGACCTGCCGAGTCCCAGTGGCCAATTATCTTCCTCTCCTTGTCCCTGCCCAACAGCATTTGTGCTTCTCAGCAGTCCACTTCACAAGGGTAGTGCACACTCGAGTTGTCCTGCTCTCCCACTGTGGAGCCCAGTGCTGTGGACACAGCTCACTGCTACTCCTGTCGACTGGCTATAAAAGCCTCTTCTGCTGCACTTCACACTTATACACTAGAACACACAGTTAGAATCCAGCTCTGAGCTGCGAGCACAAACAGCTCAGTTTACCTGTATATAGTATGTATAAGAATGTGCCTCGTCCAAATTATTCCTGTATTCATCCCTGAACCTATGGTTTACCACTAGATACAGTACAATTATGATACAATTCATCATCATAATGTGTGTGAAATGAAACATTTACTAACAATCATTACTTTTACAATCTGCAATAAGATGATAAATATAAAATGTGATCTTTGACCACAATTATTATTACAAACAATAATGACTGTCATTGGTGACAGATGGAGCAGCTGGTCTGCTGGAGCAGAATCACAGAGAGGGACAGAAAGAAGCCGGATAAGGTCATCAGGAAGTCCAGCTCTGTCCTGGGCTGTTCCCTGGACACAGTGCAGCAGGTGGAGGACAAACTAACATCTATGTTGGACCATGACTGTCACCCCCTGTAAAGTGTCCTGCAAGGGGAGAGCAGCTTCAGTGACAGACTTATTCACCCTCACTGTGTGAAAAGGAGGTTCTGCAGGTCTTTTCTTCTTGCTTCTGTCAGATTGTACAAAGAACAATGAGGACTAAAATCACTGCCGACCTGAACTCACATGTATACATAAAACTATATAGTATTCTTGCACAAGAATATAAAGTATTTTGCTTCTTTATTAATTCCCGTGTTTGTTATTTGACCACAATTGCAATAATAAGTAATACTCATTAATTTTATTTCATGGCACCTTTTAAGACACCCAAGGATGCCTTGGAATAAGCCAATTTAAGGTAGGTTTTGAGATGTGATTTGAAAAATGTCCAGGGAGTCTAACTGTAGCAGGTCAAGCGGGAGAGTGTTCCACACTTTGGAAGCAGAGTGCCTGATTTGTAAGATAAAATTATAAGATATGTAACATTAATTTAGCTTTGAAATGACAATAGAGTTATAGAACAATAATCTGTGTTAATTAGGATCTCCTCAAAAAATAGATGAATGGACTCAATGGGACTTTGAACAAATAAATACAATAAAAATGAGTGCTGCAGTGTATCCACCTCTGTTCCACACCTATTATGTCCACCTCTTTCTCCAATCGTCTCCAGCAGCAGTAGCATTCAAGATGAAAATGATGCAATATTTGATCACATTACTTTGTACTTTTCAGTTGTGTTCGTTTTGGCAGCAACAGTCTCCTTACCATCTTTGGCTGTGTCAGCAATCCTTTCTCTGCCCAGCTCTGCAGCTGCGGGAGGTCTGCCTGACGCCACTGTGTCTCTGTCGACCCCTATGGAGCACAGTTGCCGTCAGCATCACAAACCACTTCACAAGGTTAGGTTACACTGTAGGAGGGGGTCAGAAGGTCAGAAAGGGAGGGGGATAGAGTTCTGACCATTTACAGGATTCAGACTTCAACACAGGTGATACTAGTCATAATATCTAATTGCCTAGATAGTGATATAGAATGTGTGCAATCTCTTCAACAGTGACCTTGGTAGAGCTTCTAATAAGGGCTTCCCTCTTGCTCGCGGTGGGTAAACAAGCCAGTGGTTGAAGAAATAGAAGGCCACAAATGAGCAGAAAGCCTGTTCACAAACTCTCCTGCCCGCAGCTATCTGTGGAAGCTACAAGCAGCCAATTTAGTGGGATAGGAGTGAGAGAGGAGAGCTGACCTCTGCCTTCATTTACTCCTCTAGAGAGATGGGGAGATGGATCTGATGGGAGGAAGAGAAAAGGTGGAAAAAGCAAGGCCTGAGTAATAGGGAAGACTCATTCAAAAGCTTGCAGAGAGGTAGTGCGCCTGTACATGTTCTGGTGTCAATGTGTTGTGTAAACATAGGAGCGAATGCATAATGTAGGGCTAAATGAGAGTGATGTGTCAGGGAGGAGAGGCAAAGAAGATACAGGCGAAAGGTGGGATACCTTACAGACACAAATATAGTTTTCCTCTCCCTAAAGCAGTTAGATAAAAAATCTTTTGGTTGAGGAGATATCTTACACTTGCACATTTATATGGATAAAATGTTATTAGGATGACATTTTAAGATTAAGATGGTATGGCAAAATATTATAATATTTGATTCACAAAAAATAAATACATCAAAACAATGGAGACTAGGTAGAAATACAAATCACACATGATGCATGTGACTTATATCAGACAAACAAGATCTAGCAAAAACCTTGCAAGAATTTCTATGTGTACCTCGAAATCATATGCATTTACTCCAATAATTTACTGCCAATAATACCAATAAATCAATACTTTGTTCTTGCCCCAGTAGCTGTTATTATGACAAGAAATATGACATAATGTATTATAAATGGATAAATCTGTTAAAAGAATCAAAAAGGAACTTTTCCAGGAGGATTTGTCAATACTGAGATACTATAATGCTATGGAAATATTAGAATAAACTTTTAAGTAAACAAATTCGGCTACTTTAATCAATGAAATGTCATAATCTTTACTCTTATCTTTGTTTTTTATATACCTTTTTGCATTATGCTGTATTGAAGGAAGTGCTGACAGTGCAGTGTCAAGCATGTGTGGTGATAGAAGCAGGTTGCAGATGAGCAGTATATTGTCAGTGGCAAATGCTCAACCATTCTATGATACAAACACTCACACACACACACACACACACACACATATACAGAAATAGAGTGCAGTGCAATTACACTCAGTCAGCATTGTGAGGAGAAAACGCTCATAGATACTGTTTCAATTATTCAGGGAATACATTTCAGTCAGTGCTCTGATGCTGGGAAAAGTTATTATATAATCAATACACTCTATATGGCCATTAATATTTGATGTTTCCAAAGTGCTTCCTGTCTCCTCTGGCTCCTGGTCGGTGAGGTCTGGTTTGAACAGCCTGCCGCCTCAAGCTATACACTTAAATATACACAACATATTTATTTTATATCAACTACCCTTAAAAGCGATCTGTACTGTAAAGTGTGAACTAAGTATATGGTTGTGAGCCCTACTCGAATATTTCTACAGCAACACACATATGATCACTTAAAATCAGTTCACCCACTTATGAGATTGATTTAAGCGTCAGTGTTTATTATATGCATATACATTGGGACAGTTGCATAAAGAAAATATAATGCATCTGGTAAAAGTATTAGAAAAGGCGACACAATAATAAGAAACATCTAAAGTGGGAAATATATAAGAGAGAGTACAATCTATATGAATGTAAACAAGCAAAGCATTGGAGATGGACCACTGCACTACATCTCTGTGCAGTAAACTGCATTGAAGAGACAGAGAGGCATGACAGACAAAATGTCATGGGTGCACTGATGCGCCCGGGGATTCCTAATGGGGCCTCTGGCCTGAATTTTAGGCATATTTTGCCCACAATATTACAATATGTTAATAAATGCAAATGAAAAAAAATATTTATTTCATTAGTTTAAAATCTGTACTACTATCTGTAATAATAATATAAAAATTATGAATAGAAAATACAATATTCAATGCGTCTTTTATGACAAATTACACAAAAAAAGAAAGATTTGTAAGTAATCACCTCTAGACAAGATAAAATATTTCTGCCCACATTTAAAATAAAACTGAAGTTCACGGTAGAGGCACATATAGGGCCCTTTTTCCATTGTCCAAATCAACTGCCCCATGCAGCCAGACTGGTGAGCATCTCGACTCAAAAGCTGATACTTGCATGTGCAGCATTAGATACTGCTGGTCCCTGGTGGAGGTGTGAGCTGGACCCCTGCCTGGCAGTTTGGCTGAAGCTCAATGAGGAATGAGCCTTGGAAGAGAAGCCTTGGCCTCTTCTGTCAGACCTGCCCTTTGTGGCCTCATCAAGGTTCCTGTTGGTCCCCCCGCAGTTCCACAAGTGCTCCACTGCCCCATGGCCTTGATGCATATAATTCTAGTATAATTTTATTGCCAGCTCTCCACAGCTTTCAGTCTATGTAAGTAAGTAATCTTTAAGTTAGTAAGACTTTTCATATATATACAGTGTGTATATATATATATATATATATATATATATATATTATATATAGTATGGCTCACTCCACACTAAACTGTATCAATGTGTTAAATTTTAGGCAATGACACGAAACAGTCCCGAACTGTCCGCTACTGCCGAATGTTCTTAGCACCCATTCTAGTTTTGTTCCAGCTTGTTTGTCCAGTGAAGGGGGCACTACTTAAACACAGATTTGTTCAAGCTTGTAGTATTAACAGCGCTCCAAGACAGCCGTTTTGGACGTAACAAAAGTGGACACAGTTGTTACGTCCACAATGCCCATTTTGTCTGCAGTTATTTAATAATATTTTTTTTGCGTAATGAAGATCAATACAATTCAAGTTCAATACTATTTTTTTGAAAGCCATCCATTTTTCTTGAAATAGTTTTAGCTGCCCACCTGAAATTATACATAGTATAATCTGAAATGGCCATAGTGTGGAGTGAGCCATATATATATATATATATATATATATATATATATTAGGGCTGTAAAAATTATCAAGTTTTTTTGTGATTAAAAATGTTAATCGTTTGACAGCCCTTATATATATATATATTAGGGCTGTCAAACAATTAACATTTTTAATCGAGTTAATTACATCTTAGAAATTAATTAATCGTAATTAATTGCATTTCGAATTGTCGGCAAAATTATGCCATATTTTTCTGTAAATGGTTGTTTGAATGGAAAGATAAATGACAAAATTGTTTAAGGCAAGGCAAGGCAAGTTTATTTATATAGCACAATTCATACACAAGGAAACTCAAAGTGCTGAACAAAACAAGAAAGCATTAAAATCATAAATAAACACAGAACATTAAAAAGAAAGCTAAAAGTATAAAATCCCTCAGTTGTATGCATAGCTAAACAGAACTGTCTTTAACCTGGTTTTAAACATTGTCAGAGAGGAGGCCTGTCTCACATCTTCAGGAAGACTGTTCCAGATTTTAGCAGCATGAATCTGAAAAGCAGCCTCCCCATGTTTAGTTCTGACTCTGGGCACTAACAGGAGTCCAGTCCCTGTGATCCTCAGAGTCCGGGCTGGTTCGTATGGTACTAACATGTCACTAATATATTTTGGTGCGAGGCCATGGAGAGACTTGTACACAAGCAGAGCTGTTTTAAAGTCTATTCTCTGAGCCACAGGAAGCCAGTGCAGAGACCTGAGAACTGGACTAATGTGGTCGTACTTCCTGGTTCTAGTCAGGACTCGAGCTGCTGCATTTTGAATGTACTGCAGCTGTTTTACAGCCTGTTTGGACAGACCTGTGAGCAGGCCATTGCAGTAGTCTAACCTACTGGAGACAAATGCATGGATAAGAATCTCCAAGTCTGCTTTAGACACTATGTTTTTGATCCTGGCAATGTTTTTTAGATGGTAAAAAGCTGCTGATGTTACTGATTTGATGTGGCTATTAAAATTTAAGTCTGAGTCCAGTATTACCCCTAGATTTCTGACCTTGTTTGAAGGTTTTAGGGAGAGAGACTGGAGGTGACAGATGACGCTCTCTCTTTGTTTCTGGGGACCAAAGACAATCATTTCAGTTTGGTCTGCGTTTAGCTGAAGGAAGTTGTTTTGCATCCACTCACTGATCTGTTGTACTGTATTTGTTTATTATAACAACAATAAATCCACATAAAATTACATTATAAGCATCTTTCTGTAGTAGACCTCCTCTAAAAAAAGCAAAAAGAGGACCTCTTGTTCAGTAACAAAAACGGTCTACAGTCCATTGAAACCCACTCGGCAAGGAACTATACCTGAATTATTTTCTAATGAGTTCATTGTGTATTACTACATAAATTGTATTATAATCCACAATTTAATTGAAAATTGAGCTAATTGATGCAGCTTGTGAATTCAAGCCATAAAAAGTGCTGAGTAGAAACTTTGCGAGACGCTAGTTCTCCTTCACTCACAGAACGAGGGGCGGCCTGAATTTCTCCTACGGGGATCAATAAAGTATCTGTCAATCCATCTACAATATATGGCGTTATATCAAATACATTTTAACATACTTTTTTATCATGCGATTAACGCCGTCTTTGTGATCTGGTACAATTTTTGGCATGCATGTTAGGTGCATGTTAGGTCATGCATGTTAGATCTTCCCAGGTGTTCCCCCCCACGCAAACCCCCACATTAAACAAGACCATGCCGCAGAATCTTGATGGTCCTGTGTGCCTGCCCCGCCCCACATGGCCAAAACATCTTCAACCAAACACTTTCTTCAACCTCTGCTGAGGTTCAAGCACAACCACAACAAGTAA